GCACAGGAAAGACCTTTGAGATTGTTTTTGGGTTCGGGGGGTAGATTATGAAAAGGGAAGGTGCTAGCAACCTTTTCATCCATGGTTTTCCATGGGCTCTTAGTTACTTGTTTAGATCACTTGCTTTGCTTTTGAAATTATTTGAAATGGTGCTTTGTGTGGTTTTGAAAGTATTTTTGAAAAGAGGCCATCGTTTATGCAATCTTTGTAATGATTCTCGTTTGCAAGAATGTATACAAAAATGTTTGTCTTTTGAAAAATGTTTCAATATTTTGAAAGTTGTTTGGAAATGTTTTAAAATGTGTGTGTGTGTTTTTGAAAATAGCAAGGATTATTTTGAAGTTGATCAAGTAAGTAGAAGCTATCTACCTACTCAAAAGTCTTTCTTATGCATTTTTATTCCTTTGACATTGTTGATTTACCATTGATTTGGTAAACAACCATATCTTTGGATGTTAAACGGGACGAGCGTGGGTCATCGTATGACCATGATAGCAATGTTGCCAAGTATCTTTAGCATTTTGAGGGACCAAGATCATTTGTTTAGGCAACCTTTTGATAGCGTCATCGAGGGACTATGATCTTTTTGTTTTGTTTTGTTTTGTTTTGTTTTGTTTTGTTTTGCCAAAATACTTTGCATGCATACCATGGCCATTTTTGTTTAGGCAACCAAGTGGGTGAAACCCTAAGGGTGCTTGTGTGCAATGTGTGTCATTTTACATGCATTTTGATTGTCTTGGATTAGGTCTTGTCTATTTGTTTGATTTTTATCTTATCATGCAAAACCCTAATTTACTAACATGGTATAAATGCGATAAATTGCGTAAAGTAAAGTAAACTATTACAACAATTATTATGGGAGGGGGGATACAAGTTTTTGAATGGGGATATTGCACAAAATAAACCCTAAAATACTATTACAACCCAATTGAATATTTGCAAATTAAATAAATGTACAAATATTAAAAATGCAATAAAAATGTAAATATGCAAAATATTTTGTATTTAATTTTATGTATGAAAAAATAAAATTATTTAAGTCCTAAAAATAAGAAAAATAATATTGTTATTTTTGAAAGGGTGAAACCCTAGTTTTTGATTAAAAGAAAAATATGTTCTATATTATTTATTTTATCCATTTATGTACAAGAAAAAATAAATAAAATTATTTACAAATATTAAAAATTAAAATATACGTGGAAATAATATTTTATGTGTATGAATAATAAAAATAAAAATGTATGATATTTTTAAATGTGTTTACTATTTATTTTAAGAAAATAGATTCTATTTATTCTAAATAATCAATATTTTATGTAAAAAAATAAGATAAAAAATAAAATAAAATGCAAAAAAAATAAAATAAAAATGTTTTTGTGATTTTTTAATGTTCAGAAAAAAATAATAAAGTCAATAAACATAAAAAATATGAGAAATATGCAAAAATATAAAAATATGCAATGGGGGTGCAAATAGTAGTCAGGGGGGGTGTGGAAAACAAAACAAGCAGGCCCAAGACACTTCATCCCTGTCCTCCAGCTTCCATGTGCGCGCGTTTCCTCTTCAAATATGTAACTCTCTATTCTTTGCACAAAAACAAAAACTTATAACACAAAAAATGTAGCATTTCATCTCATAATTCCAATGATATAAGATTTGTAAACTAACTCTCAAAGATCAGAGAGAATTTAATCACCCCTGATTTCTAACCTAGTTTTTTCAGCATGTTCAACAATCAAATTCTCTTAGCTCAGTTAATATAAATGACAACTATGCATATGTACAGTTTCAAAAGTTAAGGACTACATTTTGCTTCACAAATCGTGGCTTGAGGATGCCTAAATAGAGAGATACAGTTTTGAAAAATACCTCCTTCAGCTGGATTTAAATATGGAAATGTGAGGACTTTGAGTGAGGCCTGAGGATCGTGTGAGCTTTCTTGAAGTTCCCTCAAGCTATTCCAATGCTTAAATTGCCTCGAGGATGCTTGAAACTCCCTGTAGAAGTCAACCTGCAACCTTCAAGTTTGAAAATGGTGATGTCTGAAATAGAGGTTACATCAATAGGATAAGGCTTAGATGGTTTGGATGTGATGTATGGAAGGTGTTTGAAGTGTTACAAGGAAAAACGCACGAGCAAATATTGAATTGGCAAGAGTTTTGCAGAAGCTGCCCTGTTTGGGCAGAAATTTGTGTTTTTTGGGTTTGAGGGTGTTTCAGAGCATAAGCCTTCGTGTTCTAGCTTGAGATAAGTTTGTCCAGTCGTTTTGAATGAGGCCAAGTTCTCCCTTTATCAGCTTGTACAAGTTTTTGACTTTTGGCCACTTTTCTTGTTTTTGAAGAAAGGTTGAAGTGACTATGCTAAAGGCCTGTACTTGGTTATCTTGTGAGCTGCAAGAGTTGGTAAACCATGCCTGATATCTATGGACAATGCTTGCACAAAAGGAACAAGTCCAAGGCCCAAGGCTGATAAAGTTTGCAAAAGCATGCTTTATGAAAATGACAATGTGCCCTTTATGCCATTTATGGATTTATTCTTTGTGCAATGCTTCAAAAGCCAAAAAAAAGCCATTATCCATTGAGTTAGAATTTAATTATGGAGTGTAGAAGGGATTTAGGACCTGTAATGCAAGGTACAAGCATGCTAGGATATGATTTGCAACTTGAAGCATTGTAAAAGTGGCTTGAACAAAAGTGACAAAATGCCATTTTCTCTTCTTCGATTCTCCCTAACCACAAATGATCTTGGAGAGTTCTTAGACATTTTTGAAAGCTTGCAACATGATCTACAATCCATATTTGAAATGAATTTTGAGATAACTCTTGGAACTAGGTGAAAAATACCCATGAAGTTATGTCAAAAACCTGCCTAAATTAGGACAAATTTTCACTAAGTTAAAAAGGTTCATGGACCCTTATTCACAAATTCATAACATGAGATCCAAACATCTTTTGGGAAAACTTTGTGAATCAAAGTTGTATATTTCATGGAGGACTACAACTTTCATGTTGGAAGTTTCCTTTGAATCTAATTTCATCATGGTGAAAAAGTTGTAGAAAGTTGGGAAAAAATAAGAAATTTTCCATACTTAGAAAAATTCTAAGTTATGAAATTTTTTCAAATTAAAACCCTAATTTGCAATTTTAGGTTTCTTGGCAACAAGTTTCACATTTTGACATATATTGATGAATTATGACCCTTGGCACTTGATTTTGACCAAAAAGTCAAAGTTTAACTTTTCAGTATACAATTGACTTTTGATCAGTTGACTGCAAAATTCATCTGTCAATCCTATGCATTTGAGATCTTTTGAACTATGTGATTAGGTAAAGATGATGATATTGAGTCCTTGAAATCATGCTTGAACCCAATTGGTTATTGGCTAGGTTAAAAATTAGAAATTGCCCTTTCTCAATCAAAACTCTAATTTTGACCATTTTGCCCTTTTGATGATCTGATCAAATTTCTTGAGGAGTTGTGATCCAAATTTGATAAAATGATACATATGGGTCTAAAATATTGTTGTGGATCAAAAATTATGAAGTTTGACTGTAAATTGGCCATGGTTGACTTTTCCCCCAATACAGTTGATTTTTAGGTCAATTGTCCAATTGACTAGGCAAAAATGTGATTCAAGGCTTAAAACTTGACATGAGCAATCTTAGAGGTCCACGATGGTTTATGAAAGTCACATGAAGTATTGATGATTCAAAAATACTTGTGCAAACTCAAACCCTAATTTTGGGTTATCAGTGCAAGATGATGTCTGGAGCTGACCAAATCCTAATCTTATCTTGAGTCCAAGAAGTCTTGTGAGAAAAATCTTGATAATATGAGAGGGAAAATTTTGGGGTACAACACTACCTTAATAGATAATGAAAGAATCTTTGATGATTGCTACCTCAACAGATAATGAAAGAATCTTGGATGATTTATACCTCAACAGATAATGAAGGAATCTTTGACGATTGCATGGTGCAACAGTTGCTTGGAGTTCAAGAGAGGAACCAACAATGACATTATTATCGTGCGAAGCAGAGTACATAACTGCTTCTCTTTGTGTATGTCAAGAAACATGGATGGTGAACTTGGTCTAAGAGATAACATGTAAAGATCATGGAGTAACTACCATGAAGATTGACAACATGTCAGCTATCAATCTGGCGAAGAACTCGATAGCACATGGTTGAAGAAAACACATCAAAATGAGGTTCCACTATCTTCGAGAGCAGGTAGCAGAAGAGAATATGAACATGGAATACTGCAGAACTGAGAATCAGATTGCAGACGTCGTGACAAAGAGTGTGAAGGTCGAAGTATTTAGAAGACTAAGAGCTATGATGAATATAGATAGCTTAGACACAATGCGTTATGTGGTGTGTTGAAAGTGTAATTCCTTGTAGGATGTTCCTCGACATAAGGTGTGTCAAATTAGCCGAGTCTGTCAAAGTGTGTGTGTCGAGTTATAGTGTCGAAGTGTCGAAGCAGGTTGCTTCCCACAAGATTTCGATTTAGGTCTAAAATATGTATTTTGCGCTTTTATAGTTTTGAGGTTTTTAGCTTATGGAAAAAGCAAACTCATTATAAATAGTGAGAGAAACCCCTATTTTTTATAATCAACTAATTGAGTATTCACAGAATTTGTAGTTGCAAGTGAATAATATTTTTCATAGTTTGTAGGCATAGAGTTACTCTGTAGAAGAAATCCTAATCTCTTTTCTTCTTTAATTTTCTTTTCTTTTTTTAATTTTCATTGTGTGGTGATAACAATCTTGTTCGTCAAGATTGATAGAAATTCATCATAAATTTTAGTGAATTTTCAACTAAATGTCACCTACGTGGCCGTTCTGATGACATGGTTTTTCTATAATATCTTTTCTAATTTTATTAATCCAGTTATTTTAATTAAAATTATCAATGACATTTCCAGGTGTTGATGATTTTGGATGTATTAATCTATAATTGTGACATATTTTGTTTTTTCTTTATCCATTTGAAACATGACTATGCGCCCATTGTCTTTGACAATGTCATTTCAAATGTAATTGTGGATGGGAGCACTATAAATTTGGGGTTGCGGGATATCACTTGTATGTTTCTTATCATGATTATATATATATATATATATATATATATATATATATATATATATATATATATATATATATATATATATATATATATATATATATATATATATATATATATATATATATATATATATATATATAACAATTTTGTGATTCAAACCAATAACTTTCTTTTACTCATTTCATTGCTTTAATGTGATTAAAGTTAATTATTTATTAAATCTATCATTTAAATAGAGCTGTTTACTTAAATTCTCAAGACACTAGGAGCGATCCATTTGCTAATGACAAGGATTCTTTACTTGAAGAAAAGGATTCTAATCATAGCTAATCAAATGCATGAGTTGACTATAGGTGTTAATTTTTCTCATGGTTGTTCTTTTCCTCTTATGTATCTTTAGTAATATTTTGTATGATCTCTTTGATGTTTTGTTATATTATTTTGTAATGCAATCAAATTATGAGAATGTTATGGTTTGTAATGCAATCAAATTATGAGAATGTTATGGTTTGTAATGCCATTTTGAACCGATAGATAATTCAGTTAATGTTTATTGAAATAATATAGTTTATAATGTCATTTAGAATCGTGTGAAAATTAGTCCTTGACTTTATGTGCATGTTTTAAATTGGTCTTTTAACTAATCTTTTAATTTTATTTGCCAATCTCTCATATCACGTAGTCAATAATTAATTTTTTTTTTAAAAAAAAATTAACGGAAGAGACTATTTAATTAAAAAACTAAATCAAAATATTAAATTAAGTTAAGAGATTATGAGAATAATTATGTTTACGATTTTACACTAATTTTTCTAGAATTTTTTTTTATAGAAAAATCGTATAAAATTTCATAAATTTTAAAAAATCCAATAAATACCATAGGGGTCTCACGACAAAATCTCTTTCATTACGCTTCATTGGTTCTATTTTTCTTTCATTAGTTTTCCTTCATCACAAGCTTCATCTCCTTTCCCGTTCAGCAACCACCGTCTTCGCCGCCGTCAATCCCTTTGCGCCGCGGTCGTCTCTTCTCCTTCACAGTTCTATTTTCCCCCAACTGAGGTACTCTTCTCTCTCTCCATCTCTCTTAATCTCTAGTTTTCTCTTTAATATGCGCACTCACAAGCTGTTTGTGAAAATGCCTCAACGAGGTTCGTATGCTTTTGCTGTTGGTTTTCACCCATTAGCTTAAATAATTGTTTTTCCTTTGAGGCTTGCTTTACTCAAGCTCGATTCAATACTTCAAGAATTTTTTTCCTGCAGCTTAGTTTGGCCCCCTAACCATAATGATTAATAAAAAAGACATTTGTTGGATGTTTGTATTTTCATTACATTTATACCAAAATGACATTTGCCTTTATAAAGTTTGTTGATGTAATATGTGTTTGCTATTCATATTGGACCTTATATAGCTCATTGTGGAGGGACAAAAATCAATTCCATCTCAAACAAATATTTTAGGGATTAAAACAAAAGAAATATGTATTCAAGGAGAAAAACAAAAAAGCTGTATTTTTGTTGGGATGAAAAACCTATTTAAACCTTTTTAAATGATCCGTTTTTTGTTTTGGATGACTATCTGTAGCCGTTGCTAGTTGCTACCTTCTGCTGTGAGTTACAAGAGGCTATCCATTTCATCCACTATGAAGTTTGTGAGTCACTATATCTGTTTTTCCGTTTAGTGGCATATGAAGGAATCTCCTATTTATGTTTTTCTTTGTAGAAAATTTTCTTCATGATTTAAATTATTTTGTTATCCTCCTTTTCATTTTGCAGACATGTTTGAGCAAAGGAAGAGGCTTTCACTTCCCACCATGTCACATGCTGAATTTTTGTGGGATTAGGATCTTATTGGATTGCCCTCTAGATCTTTCTGCCCTAATGGCCTTCTCTCCTCTACTTACTTCTTTGGATGCCTTGTCATTTGAAGAAAGCAATAACAATGACAAGAGACAGAAAATTGAAAATCTCCTTGAAGCTAAAAGCTTAATTTTTGCAGAACCTTGGTACAAGACTGTTAATAGTTTGCATCTATGGAATGCTTCTTTAATTGATGTTATATTAATCTCCAGTCCAATGGGTATTATGGGGTTGCCCTTTCTTACTCGGAGGAAGGGTTTCTCAGCTAAGGTAGTTTTCCTTTTCCACTTGATGTTACACGATTTTATTTAATAGTTGAACTATGTGACCATTTTCGTCTCGAAATACTAGCTTAGTTTTATTTTTTTGTTTAATTGATTAGATCTATGTAACACTAGCATCAGCAAGATTAGGCCAGTTAATGATGGAAGATCTTGTATCAATGCATGCGGAATTTAGGCAGTTTTACGGATCGAAGGAGTCTAATTTCCCTCCATGGCTGAGGCAGGAAGAACTTGAAATACTTCCCTCTGTATTAAAAGAGATATTGGCAGGAAAAGATGGAGTGGAGTTGGGTGGTTGGATGCCCATGTACAGGTGATATACCCTAAATGTAACTTGCATTTTGTCACAAACTCAAATAGACTAAATGTTTTACTTCCAAAAGAAAATATACTTCACTACTACATGCACTGATTTCATCTTATTATCTTGTGATTGACCAATTATAAATTTCACACATTCAAGTGTTGTTTACTTATTTATTGCTGGAGGTTTGTTTCTACAAATCTGGACAAAATCACCACATTCTGTCGCACAGTCAACCACGTCGGTGGACGTTGGATCAAGATCGGACTGTCCAAATTCCAACGCAGATTTTGATTATTTTTAAAATTTACAATACCATTCTTGAAATCCAAATCGAACGACCTTGATCAAGCGGCTATTGACGTGGCTAATTGCGTGGAGGCATGGGATTGTTGCTGCACACAGTCCAAATCCCACATTGGTTATAGAGGGAGTACTTAACAAAACTCCCATTTGGAGTTCTATCAGTCATTTGCCTTGGGCAATTTTTTAACATATGCTCCTTTGGGAGATAAATATCTGTCAAATAGTCCGTGTTAGCAACCTTTGCGTCGATGGCAAGCGAGTGTTGATGGAGCGTCGTATGGATGGAGTCGGAGTTCAAAGATGATTGTAACATCTCACGGAGAGCTGCGGATTGTGTGTCAAGTTTGGATTAAAGGATGTTCATTATGTCAGAATTGTTCATGATGAAAGCACCAATGATACAACCTGATTAGCACATATTGATCCCATGGACTCTTCGAGTGAGTCTGAACTCCTTAGAATTTGATAAGGAAAGGGAGAAGAATTATAAAAGGGATAAGAACCTTCTATTCATTCAGCATACTTAAATGGTTCTCAAGTATAGATCTTTTTAGTGCAGTAGCATCATAACAAACTTGCGTAAATTCAGGAATGGGAATAACAGAAGGAATAAAATGGAATGGCCAATCCTCAGCCAAAGGTTCTTTATTCATTAAACATAATCCTTCATCCATGCTGGCTTCTTGGACTAGCATTTCTCAAGGGCTTTACCCATAGTCTTGGTCTCATCTACTCCATTGGACTGCTCCATGATGTGTTCTGGGCCTTCATTTGTTGGGGTTGCATCAGTTATTGTAATTAGGGAATTGTTAGTTATGTTATTATGTAAACTGTTTTTCCTGCGTTCATTTATTTTTTTAAATAATATCAAGTGTAGGTTGTGGAGGTTATAATGTGTGGAATTTCTCAGTGCAGCTGATGTGAAGGATTGTATGCTAAAGATCAACTCACTTAATTATGCCCAGGAAGTATGCTACAACGGTACAGTGGTTATAAAAGCATTCAGCTCTGGTGTAGAAATAGGGAGTTGTAATTGGATTCTAAATGGTCCAAAGGGAGATATTGCTTATCTTTCAAGCTCCTGCTTCTTTTCTGCGCATGCAATGGCTTTTGATTACCGCAGTCTACAAGGGACTTCTGCATTAATTTATTCAGATTTCTCATCCTTGAGTGATACACAAGATATTGAAGATGGTGATAATTACACTGATCCAACTTCTGATAATTTATTACCGCCGAGGTACGAGATTTTGAAATATTATTCACCTACAAAATCAAGTCATATCTAGACACTTACATTTATTGCTTGACTTATTTGAAATAATCATCTGTTAATATCAACTTTTTTGGTGAATTACCGCAGTTTTCAAGATTCAGATGGATTCAACCTTAACTCTGATGAAGATTTAGAAGAAAAGGAAAAACTAGTGTTCATATGCTCATGTGCTATAGAGTGTGTCAAAGATGGTGGTTCGGTTCTTATTCCTATTAATCGACTTGGAACTATTTTGCAGCTTTTGGAGGAAATGACTACATTACTCGAAGCTTCAGCTATGGAGGTGCCCTTTTTTTTGTTTTGATATGTTCTTCATTAGTGATTTTTTGAAATTAATAATAAGCTATGATGGAAATAAAAAATATGTTTTGCGGGCGTTGTAAATTAGCCTTGTTTGAAGTTGTTGACTAGATTACTTTCTTGCAAAACAACATTCCAATATCCTTTTTATTTGCTGGTTTCTTCTAATAAGTAAAATGCATGTCTTTAGCATTCAAGTTCTGCAATATATTGACTTAGACTCAATATATTGTTCACTCGTGTTCATTCTTTTATTCTCTTTTCATTTTCTTTGGGTAAAATATGATTTAAGTCCATATAAAATACATATTTTTTGCTTTTCGGCCCTGTATTAATTTCAGTCCCTACAAATTACAAAACTACACGCTTTAAGACCCTAAAGAGGAACTAAAAGCTTACGGTTTTGTAATTTGTTGGGACCAAAAAAAACAAAAATTCAAAATAATTATTGAGACTAAAACATATTTAACCATTTTCTTTATGCTTGCAAGGGAAACAACAGGAAAACCAAAGTCCTTCCTTCAAAAGTTTGCAAAGTGTACTAGAGTCAATAATCATAGTTTTGTGAAAGGAATTTTGTAGCAAAATCTGAGATTCCTGCTTGCTGATTTTGAAGTATTCATCATTTTTCATTTTGTAGGTTCCAGTTTACATAATTTCTTCAGTGGCTGAAGAATTACTCACATGGCTTAACATCATACCAGAGTGGCTTTGTAAACAGCGGCAAGAAAGAGTACGCACCTTTAATATTATGAATTTGATCCGTTGCACTTGCATGCTAAAATTTGCAATTTATGAATTTGGTTCATTGTTTGACATCACAATTGATACTGCAGTTATTTTCGGGGGAACTATTATTTGCGCATGTCAAGCTCCTAAAAGAGAAAAAGATTCATGTGGTTCCGAATATTCATTCACATGAACTTTTGTAAGAATTTTTTACCTTGTTTGCCTTTTCTCTTCTCTATTATAAAGAACTACTGTTGCACTAGTCAGTTTTAGCATCCTTTTGCACGATCATGATGCAAAATCACGGGTTCTTGTAATGATAGTTGCTTGGGAAAATTAGTTTTTTCTTAGAATGCAGTAATTATAGATGGTTTTTCTTGACGTTTTTATTATTTTCTGACTAACGTATTGCTTGTAGAAAGAATTGGCAAGAACCCTGCATTGTATTTTGTCCTCACTGGAGTCTTCGTATGGGTCCAGTTGTTCATCTGCTTCGAAGATGGTGTGGCGATCCAAAATCTTTGCTTATCCTTGAGGTGTGTGATGTATTCCTCAAAACAATGCTTCATCTAAGTCATTTTATTCCTTTATCTATTTATTTATTTTTCTAGAGAAATCTATCTTTGATATGTCTTGTCTTGCAAAATACATTCTTTTAATAGATTTGGAATTACATTAACGATTAATCAGTGAATTTACTTTATGTAGGATATGGTGAATCCTGAGCTAGCACTGTTACCTTTCAAGCCAGTTGCAATGAAGGTTCTTCAATGTCTGTTTCCCTCTGGAATAGGGTAGGATTTCCTTTTCCTTAGACCTTAGTTACTTCTAATATGCTCATTAATGCATGCCTTGTTTTTGCAAATAATTTTCCAAATCTGACAAAACATCTAGGCTATATGTATAGGAAGTATTATGTAGCCTCGGGAACATAGGTGAAAAAAGCAACTTGCATATGGTTCCGGGAAGACCATGCAATTATCCATATATTGTTGTTATTCTACGGTCATCAGGCTTTTGAACGAGGTTTCATATAATTTTTCCTCTTTTGGACTCAACACTTGCTTAAGAATTTGAATGAATTTTCAAAATGGCCACTTCCTTATTAAAATTTTGGTCAATAAAAAGTGTAGTTTTTGCTCAATACCATAAAAAACGTGTAATCTCTTTGATTTATCTTCCTCTCCTAATTTACAGGTTGCAGAAAGTTCAACCCTTACTCAAGACATTGCAACCAAAGACTGTTCTGGTAATTGTACAAAGGTTACTTTTATACATTTATATTGTTTTATAAGATAGTACATGTGACAAATTTATGACCTATTTTATTTTCAATTTCCTATCCTGCAGTTCCCTGAAGATTTGAGATTGAAAACAAATTTCTCATGTGAAAAGTCTTTCTTAGTTTTGTATTATACCGAAACCGAAACTCTAAAAGTGTCACGTCAAAAGGACAGTTCAGAGATAAAAATTGCGGCTGATTTGGCTTCCCAGTTTTATTGGAAAACCTTTAAAAAGGAAGGAATCAATGTCACAAGATTAAAGGGGAAGCTATTAATGGAAAATGGTAGACACCACTTGTTCTTAGATAATGACAAAAAAGCTTCGTCAAGAAATAGTTCTTTGTTACGTTGTGGTTTAGTAGATTCGAATAAATTACTCGCTGCATTATCGAAAATGGGAATTAATGCTTCTATGGAACATGGTACGGATGATGCTGGACCAACAAATGTTCGTATAGTTCATACAGAGGAACCATACAAAGCTTTGATAGAGATTGGAAATACCAGTACAGCTATTACTACCGTCGATGACAATGTCGCGTCCATTCTTTTTAAAGCTATAGACAACATTTTGGACGAGGTCTGCTAGATGATTGATTTTAATTTATTGATGTTTGTAAAATCATTGTATATCTTGATATTTTTCATAGTTATTACTGTATAAGTTAATAACAATTGTTAGTTATTATTTCATGACTTCGTTTATAAAATTTAATTCATTCTACCTATTAATATAACTGTTTTAACTTTTATTTATAGAACCTTTTACTCAAGTATCTTCAATTTCATACTGTCAATTTAAGTGACATTCATATGTATATGTAAATTTCGTTGTTTATAGATTTACTAGTTACAAGCATGATTGTTACTGGGATTTATGAATGGTTGTTACTAGTATTTATGAATGTTGACCGAAGACTATGATCTTTTGAGAACCGGGAGAAGTATCCTGAAGTCAAATATCTGTGTTTTTTTCCTTCCTATGCAACAAACTAGTTTTGAGAACTCATGTAGACTTGTATGGTTTTTTTTCTTCTTCCTATGCAACACACTAGTTTTAGAACTCATGTAGACTTATAGGGTAAACTCATAATAGCCGAATTATCATATGTGTGATTGGTAGGTGTCTTGAAAAAACAAAGGGGTTCGGTAGGAGTCTTGAAAAAACAAAGGGGCAAACAATATGTATAGTTCACACATGAGCCACACAAAGCTATATTACTTCTGCTATTGATTTTCTTTTCTTGATGTTTTGTAAATTTCTCGTATCTAAAACAACGTACTTAAATTATTCTTCTTTTGCCATTAGAGTAAGGAGAAACTTCTTGTAGTCTCCTGAAGTTTTTCCCGCCACTGCATGCTCAAGATGAACAGTATTTCTCTTGTAAAAGACCTTTTTTATGTCTTCCATGTCCTTCTCAGCCCTGGTAACGATCACTCGGGTGAGTGCATCCTCATCAATTCCAACCGTTTCCATTGCACTACGAAGAACCTACATGTAACATATTCAAGTTAAAAATTATGAGTAAATTTTCAATTCGATCATTTGAAATTTAGAGTGTTATCAATTTAACTCCTAAAAGTGAAAAAATTTCTTTTTAAAATCTCACCTTTTCATAGTACTTCTTATGATCATTGATGCAACTAATAGCTATTCTCAATGCCTTGTGAAAGTCATCAGATCCTTCATCCAACAATTTCTGCAAAGGAAGAAAAGCATAAAGAAAACTAAACATATAATGATAACATAAAAGGGTCTAATTCCTTGTTGCACCTTAGTGATAGCAATGCCATGGTCATGCCTATAGCAATTGAAAGTTGCCACAAGTTGTGTCTTGCTTCTTGTTGTAAGGATTCTGATGACTTCTTCATGATTGTGATTCTTGTTTTTGATAGCCTCATGAAGTATATCAGCTTCTGATTGTGCTAATCTTGCATTCACCTCACTCCCTCCATACCTAAATGAACTCACCAACCCTACCAAAAGCTGCTCAAAAATCAACCACAGCACCTCATCAAACATTTAAGGATATATATATATATATATATATATATATATATATATATATATATATATATATACTTGAACAACTCTTTGTAGTATCAACACTTTTGAGATGTGTTTGATGTCTGACACGTGTCAGTGTCTGACATCAACACGACTCTTACAAATTTATTACCAGTATCAACGTATCAGTGTCGTGTTTGTGTTTATCTATTTCTAGATCAGGACTTTATAGATATGACATACCTGACGAAGATGACCCGTGGTATTAGTAGCCACATCTTCCTCCATCGAACGTTTATATCGGTCATGATAAGCACGTCTCACGACAAAAAGCTCATCAGGCGAGGAAACACATGAAATTTCCACAATCACATGATAGTTCATGTTCGCATTTTTCATAGCTATATTAGCCAACAAAGCCTCACGTTCTGCAGGTTCCAATATCCACCTATACATTGCTCTCTATTTTGTATACACCAACAAGTCAACTCTAACAAAACAAACTCAAAAGTTTCCATAAAATAAAATTCTTCAAATTGTCGCATTGTTAAAATATGATGACCAGGGTTCGAATCTAAAATTCCACATAAAATATTTTCACAACTAAACTATTTGACTCGGAACAACTAGACATAACTCGAAAAATGTATATACCTCAAAATCACCGGATAACTCTGATTCAAGTCGTTTGATGAGATCTTCTTGATAGAGATCATAATATGCTTGTCTGATTTGAGTTCTTTGAGTACCATTTCTATGACCTAATATTGCTATAATGGCTTTTTCATCAGCTCCCCAACCTAGATAACCATTAATTTAATTAGTCAAATTCTAATAATTATTATTAAAGATAGCTTGATAAACACGTAATCAAGAGAAAAAAAAATGAAGAGATGGATGATGTGATTAATACCTTTAACAGCTCTTTGGAGAGCTTCTGCATCTTCAATTGGAGAGTGTTTGGAAGGAGCAATTAGTGAAGCCATTGTTAATTGACTTTGTTATGAAGTAATTATAAGCGTTTTCATCAAAGCTATTTTGTGTATGAGGGTTATATATGAAAATTAATAACATATTAATTTATATAACTTTGTTACATTCTAGATAACATATAGGAATTATCGATATTTTTTATGTTTGCAAGCAAGGTTTTATATTTTATAAGTATATCATAAAATATGATATTGAGCTATATAAAACAACCGAGTAAAACAACATAATGTTGCAATCACATTACCATCTCCACTTTAATACTATGATTTAACATATTTTCATTGTGTTAGGTTTGAGGGTCCAACCAAACACAAGAGAGATGGAGAAATATTGGAGACTAAATAAAATAAAAATTATCCATAGACCATACTTCAATGGATATACGTTAATATTATTAAGTTGGACGTTATTACTAAAATTTAAACTTTAGTATTCACAGTTACGTGTAAGTTTTTAATAGTTATTACTATTTCATTATACAGAAAAAGTAAAAATAATTTAATGACAAAATTTGATGAAAAAAATAAAAGAAAGTATTTAAATATTTTTAACAGTATGTCAATTGTACGGAAATAGATTTGTGTTGAAATCCTCTTGGGTTTTTCAATTGTTGCAACTTAATTTTTAAATATGAGATAGAAAATAAAACATAAAATTACAAAAAAAGAGAGCATAAGAACATAATCCAATATAATTTTGATACTAATAACTCTCCATTAACAGCATATAATAGCATATCCCAAAGGAAACATCACAACATAGAAGTTCAAATCATCGAAAACAACTATTAAAGTAGAAGGAACACCTTAACAAAACATTTCATAATCATCACATAACCATAATTTAAAATATAACCCAAACTCATTAAATATAATAACAACCGAGTAACAAAAAGACATATCACAGAAAGAGTTAATGTCTCCTAAATTTTATTTATTTATTAAATAACATACCTTTTTCTGCATCGTCTTCATCTTCATCATCTTTCAATATCAAGCGAACGCGGTTATTAGTCATAGATAATTTGAGATTATCTCTTGCAAAATAAAGGGTTGATATGAAATCTTCTCAATCATCAAATTATTTGCTCAGATCAAGAAGTCTGGTCGGAGGTAGTAAAACTAGAATATGATATTCTACCTTTTTGAAAAATTTATTTGAAATACGAAGACCCTCAAACTTTGAACGTAAATCATCTATTTCAGGTAGAACGATTTTAGGTTACGGCAAAACTAAGAAATCTCTCCATTCCAACTAGAACGATTTTAAGTTACAGCAAAAAAACTAGAAAAACACAAGGTTAATTGTGTTTTCCTAGTTTTTTGTTGTAACCTAAAATTAGAATTGTTTCTCCGTGACAATCGCTAGGCTCTTATTAAATGTTACTTGCAGGATCATCTACAATAATCATAGACTTATTGTTTTGAGTGTTTTTTGGGTTGAAACTAGTTTATAAAAGGTAAAAGGGCAAAAGATAAAGACAATTGTAAAGTGAATAAATTAAAGACAAGAGTTGTAATTTAAAGTGAAAAAACTGGAAATTGCTGGGAATTTAAATGTGGAAGCATTCATACACTGTTAAGCTTGAAACTCGTTTCTCTCTTAGATGCAGATACTTTGAGTGTATTGCTCTTAAATGCGAATAAATGCGACTCTTGACACAAATACAAACATTTGCTTAAATAGAAATCCTAAATATGTAACCGTCGACGGTTACTTGTAACACCTCATTTTTACCCGATGGATAATAAGAAAATCAGAGTTCAACATAAATAGGATGCTACATTTTTCGATTTAAAATCAAACTTCATTTAATCACATATCAAATAGATACATAACACTTAATTCGGATGAACCGATAACAACCTGATTTATTCTTTAAAATCAAACTACTTTTTATTGATAAGCAGCAGAATCACATACTCAACTTCAAATCATTAACCTCTTTCATAAAACTGAAACAACTTCAAGACAACAATTACTTCATGTAAACAACTTAAAGATTCAGCAACAGTAATAAATAATCAATAACTAGACATTAAGCGTTCATCCCTCCCGAGTGTTACGTATCAGAACAATGACACCGACTCGACATACTAAAGATAAACCGACATCAATAGACATACGTTGATATTATTAAATTGGTCGTTATCACTAAAATTTGAACTTTAATACTTTCAGTTATGTGTAAGTTATTAATAATTATTACTACTCTATTGTACAGAAAAAATAAAAATGATTTAATGACAATATTTAGTGAAAAAATAAAGGAAAGTATTTAAATATTTTTAGCAGCATGTCAATTGTACGGAAATAGATTTGTGTTGAAATCCTCTTGGGTTTTTCAATTGTTGCAACTTAATTTTTAAATATGAGATAGAAAATAAAACATAATTTTTTTTTAAAAAAATAGCATAAGAACATGATCCAATATAATTTTGATACTGATAACTCTCCATTGACAGCATATAATAGCATATCCCAAAGGAAACATCACAACATAGAAGTTCAAATCATCAAAAACAACTATTAAAATAGAAACAACACCTTAACAAAATATTTCATAATCATCACATAATCATAACTTA